TACCACTGAAGGTCTTCCAGGTGGCTCTGTCATGCTCTCTCGCTGCCTCCCTTCTCCTCCCACCCTTTCCCCTCCAGGCCCCGCTCTCCCCTTCTGCTTCTCTCTGCCCTCTTCTCGTCTTCTCCTCGGGGCTCAGGGTTTACAGAGCTCTGAGATAAAGAAGTTCAGACATGCCTCGCATTTTTAGACCCCCCCTTGTGGAACGTAGTTGGCAGCTTCTCCACAAAGTCTTGGTGTGTGGAGCTCGTGCTGACCTATTCTGTCTTTCTTTGGCATTTCTCTGAAAATCTCTTGATGTGAGAGATAATGTCCCAGAGAAATGAAAGTGCAGAGGCAAAGTCAGCCTAGCAAGAGTGTGAGATGTTTTCTGCTGAGCTGTGTGGGCAGAGGGCTTGGGTACAGTGCTGTACATCTGGCAGATAGATTTCCGTCAGCAGCTCTCCAGTGTCAGGCTGCCTGCCTTTGAGGAAGAGGATCAGATCTGTGGGTCCATGTTGTGTGCTGGCTGAACACCTAAGCACACATAGTCAGCTCCTAAAATGGCTGCCCTTGAAGCTCGGCTCAGAGGAGGATCTGAGCAGCTCAGTCGCTGCCTGTTAGAGCCCCAGCTGACTGGATGAAAGCAGTTACACAATCTCACCCATTAACTTGGTGTGGCGCAGGGACTGACTGGCTGAAAAGACACAGCCAACTCTAAGGCAGATGGTGGTTGTGTAGGAGGCTTTTTTTTTTTTCCTCCCCGGGCATTCCTCTCCCCTTTTCTCCGAAAGGATTCTCTTGATATCCATGTCAAGGAACCTGGCATTAGGAGGCAACTTTGTTCAAAACAGCAGTGAACTGCCAAGAGAGCAGGGTGGGGCCCCGTGGTGAGGCTGTAACCTGACCCTGAACAACAATGGATCCCCTGGTTGCTCAGGGACATACTGGCAGCTTGGCTGGCTCACATGGAGCTCTCCACTTGCTGGCCAGTTGGGTGTGGGAAGCAGGGCGGGATTCCCAACTGTCTCTGGCTCAATCTCACTTGAAATTTCTTGGTTTCAGTGTCCAGATCAGTAGACTGAATTTGATCGTGCTACTAAAGCTATATTTTATTTTGTCTCTCTTAAAATCAAAGCTGACCTGGTAACATAATACACAGTTTCTATTTCACCTCACATTTGGAGCTACTGTGCAAATATTGTGTGAAGACATTTTCTACAACTTAAATACAGAAGCGTTTTTGTTAGAAGAAGTTAGTACAGTGTATCCAAAGTCTGTTTTTTAACTTCAGTAATAATTCTGTCACAAGATAGTCTGACTTCTGGTTGGCACAGTTGACCCTGCATATTATACAGCAAGAATTCATCACAAGTACTGTACCAATTTAGGTTTACACAGATTCACGGTGGACTGTTAAAATACGAAAATCGAAAATCAACCCACTTTGTGGAGCTCCTTCTGGATCCACAAAAGGCTTTATACAATATTTTTCATGTATGCAGTAGTGCTCCCCAAGGCCTGTAATCAGACTTAGCGCTAAATCAGCGCAATTCACCTTGAGTTTGGAATGGCCATGTCAGCATACAAATTACGTTAACTTCAATAAAATCACTCTTTTATAGATGAACTGAATAATCTATAGGACCAAAGGGAAACATAGACCAAGAGGCGTCATATGGTGAGCTTTATTTACTACACCACAGCCTTTGCATTCCTTATTAATCTGCTTATTGGTCTGTTTTGATCATTTGGTCTAAATTATATAATAACATAATATATGGTAATAATATAATATATAATAATATAATGTTTACATAATATAAAGCGCTGAATTAAATAAAACATGTTCACATATGTTAAATGTAACATCAGGCTGAATGACATAAATATATGTTCTCTATAAAGCTAAATGCTCAAATCAAAAATATATAGCTGTGCTGTATTTATGCCACTCCTGCTTTAAAGCAGTGTTATAATGCTGCTCTTGTATGAATGTAACTTAATTAGGATGTTTTTCCTCATATCTTTAAGAGGCATCAATTAAAGTAGTAAGTGTTGATTATGATAGTGTTAGGGAATTTAGTGAGTTTTAGGTATTACTACAGCCATCAACAAAAACTCCTCATTCTCTAGTTTTTCAGCAAGAATATAAGGAGAACTGATGGTTATAAGATTGGATTTGGTTGGACTCTGGACACAAACCACGACGTATTTTGATTTAGACTTTTGGCATTAAGGACAATGGATTGATAAAAGGGTCACACTTTATGTGTGAACTATTAATCCTCTTTGAATAATATTGTATGGAATATTTCTGTGTCTGCTTTATAGGAAACACAAATAAATGCTAGTTATAAAGAAGTAGTACTTAGAAAAGTGGCAGCTTTCAACAAAATGTGTATTTTAGTTTGGAACGGGCCCATCCGTGTGTTACCATTTCTATTAGTAATAATATAGCATAGTAATAGTTGCCTTAAATTTTAAACTCTGTATTGTTGTACAGTAAAAGCAAACAGTGTCCAAAAAAATCTATTATTACTGTGTCAGCACACAAAGGAGTGGCACAAAAGAGAAACACATCAAAAAAAGTTGTTGCATACTAAGGCTTCCGTTCCTGGTGATTTTAACAGTTACAAACATAACAGACATGCAGTGTACACATCGTGTGTGTGTTCACTTTAGTTGTGTGAACTTCATTGTTGTTTTAGTGTTGTATTTCAAATTTTTTTTATTTTTCTCTATGTGATATGCAGGGCAGGCTTTATATGAAGGAGTTAATGAGGTGAATGTCTACCAGAAGAGCTTTAATCCATCTTGAAATTCTGTCAGAAGATGTTGCTGTGCGTTGGTTCAAATATGTTCAGTGCTGGAAGATTTCCATGGTGTTCATGAAACTGCTCTTAAGCTTACTTACTTAGTGGTTTGGGGATGTAATCATCCTGAAATATGGAAACATCATGAGCGACCAGCGTTGTACCACAGGGTGCACCTTGTCCTATAAAATGGTCTTATACTATAAGGCTTTTGGTAATTATGCATCTATGGAGAGCAATCAGCAGACCTAATGAGTCCAACAACATAGGCGTAACCTTACCCTTACAGATCCTTCATGTTAGCCCCATCTTTGTGCATGGGCCTTGGGTATTAGCAGTTTACATATGAATGAAATGCCAGCTTTGTAAAATCAAATGTACAGACTGGCTTATAGAGGTGTTGATTCCGTTCCTGTTATGCATCCATTGCTTTACTTTCTTTAAGCCGTGTTTCTTTTGTTGATGCAGTTTGTATATATTTAATATGTGCAGTTTTTTTGCGCCCCATGTACTAAGGAGTCCTTAACCCATGGCCCTTTGCTGCATGTCCCATTTGCTGTCTGTGTCTATTAAAGGCAAAAATATGTATACATATATATGTTTTTTGTCCAAAACTATGGCGTGCACCTCAGTATGCACCTATTGTCTAAGCAAACATAATATGTTCACAGAAACACTGTACTTTACTTGTTATTGTGTTCAAAAGACAGTGTGAAAAGATTGTATTGATTAGGATTTGATTTGAGAGTCAAGGTTGTAAACTCTGCCCTTTAACTACCTGTATCTCAGAACCAGTGTGAGCTACAAGTCCTATTTGTGATATTATATGGTTTTTGAGACAAAATGACAGTTGATTAGAAAGCCATGATGAAAGAGCTGTGAAATGATGGCCACATCATCAACATCCATTTCTCTGGTCAGGTCTAAACTGCAAAGCAGCCCAAAGACATAAAGCCTTCATCTCTCAGTTGATTCATTCAATCTTATTTCAGAGCAGTTGATACAATCTGATGGAATAGTCTGCTCTAAATACTGAGCTGTGGAGCTGCTCTCCAGCTGTTGCTTATCCCAAGGTAATAAAAATGGGACAAATCAGCCCATAATCCCTCCTCAGTCCCTCCATTGTTCTTGGAATGATGCTATGCTAAAAAATGGGACCTTCTTAGTATTCTAAGTAACATCAGCATCTGCTGAATTTTTCTCTTTGTCATGTTTTGTTAGGCTTTCTATCAGAGTTTGTGAGCAGCTTCAGGCATTTCAGTGATTGAAAATATTCAAATTTTTATAAGAATTGGTGACCATCCATGTGGTTTTGTCTTCATAATGAGAAACAGAAATTTGTTGCAGTTTTGCATAAATGAACATTTAATTTGTGAGAATATGACTTCTTGTAGAAGCAAAACTCAATCATTTTAATTTTGTGTAATTTGTTTGTTTGGTAGGTATATCAGTAACATATTTGATTTAGACTTGAAGGCTCGTAATGGTTCTGATTTTTTGATTTTGTTAAAATTTTATCTTCTAATCTTCCATCTCATCACTACTACATATTATCAAAGCAATCATAAAGAAATAAATGCATTGTAGGCTGAGTCTTAATTTATCCTGGTTCAAATGACATTCACAGTGTACAATTCTAACACAATTTTTCTCTCCAGTGCCAAATTTACATGTGTGATACATTGTGTTGCAAATTCTTGCGAATGCAACATGAAGAATCTCTAGAACTATAGTTTCTAGAACTAACTAGAATAAGACTCTGCTGCTTTAGAACGATGGCCTTTGAGCTCATAATCATGAACATTTGAAAGCATTACATCTTTTTCTGGCCAATGTCTTACTTGTTATGTGGAAAAGGTGTGCCATCCACCCTGTACTTGATTATTCTTTGTTCACAGCAGGAATTGCCATTGGTAATCATGCTAGATCATCACAAAGCTAATTTCTATGGAAGGAGTTGTTCGCTACACTGAATATTGAAGCATTACAGGATATTAGTCCTGAAGTCTTGAACGGACTTAACTGACCCTTAACTTGCATTGTAATGGGAAGTTAGCCTATGGCTCTCATGAATATTTTAACATTATTTTCATAAATTACTTTTCTTTAATCACAACTGCTTAATTAGACATTTACTCTACCACATACCCCCTTGGAAAATGCTGTTTATCCTCCTGATGATTTTTTTCTCTCTCTTTTTCTTTGCAGGTTTCCCTGATTTTCCAGGGAGTGCTCCCTCTTTTTAGGGATGGAGGTATTGCAGTGTGATGGCTGTGACTTCCGTGCAGAGTCATATGATGACTTGAAGACCCACATTCAGGAAGTACACACTGTTTTCTTGCAGCCTGCAGATGCAGATGAGTCTGACTCTCTGAAAGACGAGGATGAAGATGAGGAGGAAGACGAGGAATATGAGGATAAGGATGACAAGGATTATACGCCTCCTAAAGCTGGAATGAGTATGCCTACCACATTAATTCAGATGTTACAGTTAATTTGTTGAGGATTAGGAAACACTGTTTTCTGTTCCCGTTTTAAAGGACTCTTCGTAGTAGGATGATATAATACATTATTAAGCAGAATAAAAAATATTGAATTGTTGCTGGTTTTATTGACAGAATCAGCAGAAAGTCTAAATAATAACAGCAAAATGTTACTGAGTTACTATTTTTCTCACATGCTTTCTCGTCTTTTCAGGCCCCAACTCTACTGACAATTCCAACCAAACTCCACAAAAGCAGACAGCTGAAACCCATCTGCCGTTTTACCAGTGCAAGTTCTGTGTCCGTTACTTCAGATCGAAATCATTCTTAAGAAACCACACCAAAAAAGTGCATAATGTTGTAGAGGAGGATTCAGATGCAAGTATCTCCTCACAGAAAGCTAAACAACCCAGCTACACTGTTATAATGCACAATGACCATTCAAAAGTGTATTCCTGTCAGTATTGCACGTACAAGTCTCCACGCAAAGCAAGGATAATGAAACACCAACTAATGTATCATAACAAAGTTCCCTCAGAGAGGGCTAGAGATCCTTCAACTGAGACTGGAGAGGAATCTGACTCAGCCATTGGACTCATGAAGGGAACATTTGCCTGCGAATGGTGTGACTATCAGACTGACCAGAAGGACAGCTGGACTAATCACGTGGTGAAAGAACACAGCGACAAGGTCAAGATAGTTTCCTGCATTGCGGAGCTGGAAGGGGAGACGAGTGCAAGCTCACCCAGACCAGATTCTCCCTCAGCTTCCCGAAGCCCGACTAGATCAAAGATGAGTTTCGCTGGAAAGGAAGAGTCAGTAGGAAAAACAGTAGAAAACACATTGGAGAAGTCAGTCCCAGAGATCTCATCCTTTCAATATGCACAGATAAGTGCAGTAACACCAAACAGCACAGGTTCCTCTATTTTGTCCAAGAGGTTTGCTTCATCTGATGTCTCTAACACTGTCATAGACATGGATGCCAACTTACTTAATGAAGACGATTCTAGGAGCAGCTTAGATGATGATCATGATGATGATGATGATGAGGAGCTGGGCGATATAGATGATCCCAGCTATACTGGGACCCTGTCAGCAGATGCAAAGCAGCTTTTAACTGATGATGATAATAAATTACTGGAGACTAAAGGAATACCCTTTAGAAAGTACATGAACCGATTTCAGTGCCCCTTCTGCTCCTTCCTCACCATGCACAGGCGGAGCATCTCCCGCCACATTGAAAACATTCACCTTTCTGGTAAAACCACAGTGTATAAATGTGATGAATGTCCGTTTATTTGCACGAGCCCTCTTAAACTAGGCACGCATAAACAGAGCCACAATTCCTCAGATTTAGAGACCATGGACCTAACAAGTGATAGCCCAGATCCTCAGAATGACAGCGCTGCAGAGCCAGTCAATGGGGGTAATGTAAGTTCCAAAGTCAATGGAAAAAAGGTAACCAGCACATCGAACGACCAGCCGAATCCTCATCGCTGCACACTCTGCAGCTTCTCTACCACGACTCTGAAAGGTCTTAGGGTTCACCAGCAGCATAAGCATTCCTACTGTGATGACCTTGATCCCGCTGTCTTTGAAAGCCAGCTGACTGACCAGCCAGACTCTGAAGTGGACGCTTCTCCAATCTTTCTACAAAAAACCCAGACCTCCATTTTAGGACTTGCCACCAAAAAGCCCTTAGTAACAGGGAAAAGAGCCAGGAAGTCTATTAATGACTTGCCTTTGGATTTGTCCTCAGTTAAGAAGAGAACTAGAATTGATGAAATTGCCAGTAACCTTCAAAGTAAGATAAGCCAAAGCCAACAGGACATGATTATAAACCTGGATGACATGGATGATGAAGATGCAGGAGAAAATCATGCCAGTGCTGATAAAGAGGATACAGACCATGACAATAAAAACCCTGTCTTTACTTATAACACACAAGAGCTTCATGCAAGAGAATCAATGATCTCGCACGAGGGAGGCAGGATAGGGAAAAGAAAAAGCAACCCTAAGTCAAAACCTAGAAACATTCCTATTTCCCTAACTCTTTCAGATGATAGTGAAAACATCTCTGCTGACCCCAGTGACAGTACTATTCAAGAGAACGCTGATTATTCAGAGGAACCAGGAACTGCACGTTTCTACTGTAAACACTGTGATTACCACAACAAATCAGCTCGTAGCGTCAGCACCCATTACCAGAGGATGCACCCTTACATCAAGTTCAGCTTTAAGTACATCCTGGACCCTGAGGACCAGAGTGCGGTCTTCCGCTGCTTAGAGTGCTACATTGAATACACGAATTACAACGATCTACACCAACACTATATGGATCACCACCCTGAAGCAAGCAATGTGCTCAACTTCAATCAACCAAATCTTGTATACATGTGCCGCTTTTGTTCCTACACAAGCCCCAATGTCAGGAGCCTAATGCCCCATTACCAAAGAATGCATCCTACAGTGAAAATTAATAATGCTATGATCTTCTCCAGCTATGTAGTGGAGCAGTCCCACAAGACAGGCGAATCGCAAACCCTGAGGGAAATATTAAACTCTGGCCCCAAGAATTTTAACTCAGCCACGTCAACCCCCAGGTCCTCCTCCAGCCCAGTGCTGAAAACTGTCTCCAAGACCCCTGAAGCCAGTGCTGAGACAGACCCTCTCAAAGAATCTGTAGGTGGCAATGTTGTCGTCTATGATTGTGATGTTTGTTCTTTTGCTAGCCCCAACATGCACTCTGTTTTGGTCCACTATCAGAAGAAACACCCAGAGCAAAAGGCCTCTTATTTCCGTATACAGAAAACCATGAAGGTCATCTCAGTGGATCAATCACAGTCTGCAAACTCTTCATATAATCTTAGCATGGCTACACCTCCAAAACAACCAAGCACAGCACTGTATGGATCAGATGAAGAAATGTACTACTGTAAACACTGCGTGTACAGCAACAGATCTGTTGTTGGTGTGTTGGTCCATTATCAAAAGAGACACCCAGAAGTAAAAGTGACTGCAAAATATATCAAACATGGTGCTCCTACCCCTGGTTTGATGAAATTAATGGACGAATTGCAAATTGCAGCTCCCAAACAGTTTATGAAGCAGTTTCAAAACAATGGTCACGATGGCTCAAACAACTCAAGCCCAAAACCAGGAAGTGGTGAGAAAGGTGAGGACGAGCTGTTCTTTTGTCAGCACTGTGATTATGGCAACCGCACTGTAAAAGGAGTGCTTATTCATTACCAGAAGAAGCACAGAGAAACCAAGGCCAATGCTGACCTTGTACGTCGTCACACTGCCGTTGTCCGGAGTCAGCGTGAGCGTGCGCAGATGGTTCAGTCGAGCAGTGTCTCTTCTGCTGTGATCCAAGCCCCTCCAGACCCTGAAAACGCTACATCCCTGCGTTCCCTTAAGTGCAGACACTGTTCCTACACATCCCCTTACGTCTATGCCCTGAAGAAACATCTGAAGAAAGAGCACCCCACTGTGAAAGCCACAGCCATGACCATTTTACACTGGGCTTACCAAGATGGCATTCTGGAGGCTGGCTACCACTGTGAGTGGTGCATTTACTCCCACGCTGAACCCCAAGGCCTGCTGCTCCATTACCAAAGACGCCATCCTGAGCACAATGTTGATTACACATACATGGCCAGTAAGCTATGGGCTGGTCCAGAGACCACCCAACAAGGGGGAAATATGGAAACTAAACATTACAAATGCAGAGACTGTGCCTTTGAGGCCTGTACAATATGGGACATCACTAGTCACTATCAAGCAGTCCACCCATGGGCCATTAAAGGGGATGAATCTGTGCTTTTGGATATCATCAAAGGAAATGGCTCAGCTGAAAAGATCCACCAGCAGGTTGCCAAAGAACATGCGTCTTTCAATTGTCAGTCTGTTGAAGATGATGGAGCACTGGTCATTTCCACCCCACCTCAAGAAAGCAATCCCCATCCTCCCCACCCACGTCTTTCCATCTCTAACAATCCTTATCAGTGTACTGTATGTCTGTCAGAGTACAACAGTCTCCATGGCCTCCTCACTCACTATGGGAAGAAGCACCCAGGAATGAAAGTAAAAGCTGCAGATTTTGCACAGGAGGCAGACATCAACCCCAGTTCTGTGTATAAATGTCGTCATTGTCCGTATGTCAATTCCCGCATCCATGGTGTCCTAACTCACTACCAGAAAAGACACCCTTTAGTGAAAGTCACTGCAGAAGACTTTGCAGATGATATAGAGCAAATCGCTGACTTAAATGACGGGGATGATAAGTGCAAAACTCAAAGGCAGGGCTATGGTGCATACAGATGCAAAATGTGCCCGTACACACATGGGACACTTGAGAAACTCAAAATCCATTATGAGAAATATCACAATCAGTCAGCCTCTGATATGTTCACTCCCTCTATGACAACTTTCTCCCCTGGTAAAGAAACAGAGCCAGTAGCTGAATGCAGTGCTAGTAATATATCAAGCGGAGCGAAAGTCCAGGAGGTCAGTGAATTGGATCTTGCCCTCTCCCAGTTACCCATCAACAAGACAGAGAAACATGCTATATTCAAGTGTCAGCTCTGCAAATACTTTTGCTCTACCAGGAAAGGCATTGCTCGCCACTACCGTATCAAGCACAACAATGTTCGTGCTCAGCCAGAAGGTAAAAACAACGTCTTCAAATGTGCTCTGTGTTCGTACACAAACCCTATACGCAAAGGTCTGGCAGCACACTACCAGAAGCGGCATGATATTGATGCCTATTATACCCATTGTCTGGCTGCTTCCAAGACTATGACCGAAAAGCCTAACAAAGTGGTGGCACCCCCGCCATCAGAAGGGGACAACTCAGAAATGAGTGAAGACTTGCGTTTGGCTGTGGAGAGACGAAGGTGCTCTCTTTGCGCCTTCCAGGCCTTCAGCAGGAAGAGCATTGTCTCACACTACATTAAACGCCACCCAGGTGTCTTCCCCAAGAAGCAGCATGCTAGCAAGCTTGGTCGCTACTTTACCGTTATCTATGCCAAAGAGCCCGAGAAGATTGCTGTCAGTGCAATGGCAGAGGAAGACAAGGAAGTGCTGGAGGTTCCACTTGAACCTGAGCAGGACAGAGAAGTTGAATGGCTGCCATTCAAGTGTCTAAAATGCTTCCGGTTGTCCTTCAGCACAGGCGAGCTGCTCTCTATGCACTACAACGACCACCACAGCAATGACTTGAAGAGGGACTTTGTGGTATCGCCCAGTCCTGTGGATGAAGACTCTGAGTTGTACCAGTGTTCTCACTGTGAGCTGAAGTTTCTGGCTCTCCCAGTTCTGGCTAAACATCTATTGAACCACAATGAAGAGTTTCAGAAGAGGGCCATGAGGCAGGAGAGGAGGAGGCAGCTTCTCAGCAAACAGAAAGCTGCAGAACTACCTGAGACCAAACCTGAGAAGGTGAGTGGAGATACAAGTCTTCTTTAAGCCTTGTAAATGAAATAAAAAAACTCATCAGTATACTCTAAATCTATTGATGCCATAGTTGCAAGCTACCACTGTCTATGATTTTATATCGATGGAAATAGCTCATAGCGAAATAATGTATCACTGAGAGTATTGTTAATTTATCATAACATGACTTTATAAATATACAGTTATTGCAGCTGGTGTAGTAGTCCTATCCTGCCAAAATGGAATTAAAGAGATAATTATGTGTTTCAAATTGCCCCTTTAATCACTAGGAATATATAACGATAATATAATGATGTGTTATAATTAGTTTCATAATAAGTTCATTCAAAATACCATTGATCTTCTTTTAATGTATATTTGAGAACAATGACAGTCTCTAACTTCATGGAGAAAAGGTAAACCTTGTGAAGAAAAATAATAGTATGTTCTGATACAAATACATCAGCTGGTTTGGATAGATTCACAGGAATTAGTGGTGCTATGTAAATGACACTGTTTAACCGAACAGCTTCTTTTTCATGTCATTCTTTGTCTGTGAACAGGAAAGCCCTGTAAATAAAGCTCCCATAGGATTCAGGTGTAACTTCTGCATAGAGGTGCACCCCACCCTCCGAGCCATCTGCAACCATCTTAGGAAGCACGTCCAGTATGGAGAAGTCAAAGAGGGACATGTCAAGGTAAATGGAGTTGAATTTATTTTTTAATTCCAAAGACAAACATTTGTATTATATTATAGATTTATTACATCAAGTCTGAAACATATTCATATTAACTATGTCAATGTTAAAACTTATTTTTATACAAAAGACTAAATTATTTAATGTAAATAATATTTGATAACACAGCACATGTTTCTTAATTGTAAAATGTGTTAGAAATAGTTTTTGGAAAATACACTTCCTTCACAAGAGTTACCGTAGATGAGAGGATTGATGTCACTTTCATATCTGTCTTATAAATATGAAGCCAGCAGCCAGCAGCTAGTTTACTTAGCTTAGCATAAAGCACTGACATTAATAAGGCTTAAAGATTCTTTTATTTTATTCGGACAGAGCCAAGCCAGCTGTCTCTCCCTATGCTAAGCTAATATGCTGCTAGTTGTAGCTTCATATTTAGTGTACAAATTTGAGAGTGATATCAATCTTAATATCTAACTTCAACACGAATAAAAATAAATGTATCTCCCAAAATATCAAGCTATTTCTTTTTAACAAATTGTGCAGCTACTACTTCAGAGATCAAGCAAATGTACAGTATGTGTTATTTACTCCTATTTTGATCAAGTTTTATCAACAATATATTTTCTTAAACAATATTTGAAAGACCCACTTTGTCTGTCCCTATTGTTTCTGTCTTATAATCTAACTCTCATCCTTCTAGCTCTGCAGTGATCTGTTTTACTGAACTTAGGTTCTGTTTCCCATTTTGTTTATTACTGACGGAGGCTTCTGGGTAGACAGTCTGTCAGCTTCCCCCAGAGAAAACAAGCAATGCTGTCCCATTGCAGTGGAGGGGGGGGGGAGTGGAGGACAGAGTGGTGAGCCATAACTTTTAGGGCAGTGGCGGGTAACCATTCGAACATTAGTATTCCACTGAGGCTGCCAGTGCGGGGAACAGGCCCAAGGATCCAACGCCTCACCCAAACGGAGGCCTGGTTCTTCCGTCAGACACTGAAGTCTGTCTTTTATGTATTTAGGATGAGATGGTTTGGGGTCACTGAGAGTGATACAGTGAACTATTAACTCGGATAACAGAGGTCTACTAAAATAATGGGACTATTTCTGTTGCGACTTCGACTTTTAGGTGTATTCATTTCATGGGATACCCTGACAGGGTTATGGGTTAACTGCAAACATTCATGGCTTACAATATCTCTACCAGATGGAATATACTGTATGTTTTACACATTGCAGAGGGTAAAAATGAATGTTGCTTTTTATAGTATCATGAATACAGTTTCAATCTAGAACTGCAATGGTTTCTGATACAGTTGGATGAAGAACAGGCTGACAGTGCAGTCATGGCAGACTGGATGGCAAGGTTGGGTCTGTGGATGCCACATCTTATTTATGGCTGCATGAAGTGCAGGGTCAGGTCCTTCCACAGAAAGAATGAGCTTCCTTGGGGCAATAAAAAAGTCATGGTGATTGTCTGTCCACTTGTGACGACTACAGAGCCCAGCCTGCGCTCCAGCAGTTGGAGGAAGAAGAAGTAGGTGGAGTTCTGTTTTGAGTTGGTTTGTGTGGTTGGTAGATGTGTGAATGTGCGGTGTCTTCGGTTTTAGCTCTTTATCTGTTTTGCTGTATGACTGTTTTTTTATCATCCCATTTCGTTTCTGGGTGATTTAGCAGCAGCAGGGCAGCAGCTAGTAATGAAACAGGTCTAGCAGCCAAACAGAGGAAGATTATTAATCAGAATAAATCCTTGTTGTTTGGTATAAAGATAAAACTGGGTGCATATTGTGATTGATTTTGTTATGAATAATTTTATTGCATTTATTCTTATTCTTAGAGTTATACTGTTGATATATATATATATTAGAAAGATGGAGGAGATTTGGGAATAATATGTAACAACAAAGCTTCTGGACAGATAAAGGCGTTGGACTTGTGTGTGTGTGTGGTGTGTCAGTTAATAACAGCAGACTGCAGAGTTTCACATCATGGTTGGAGTTAGCCTAAGGTTACTGTTAAGGCTTGCCTTTTACTGGGCTCGACTCAGTCATGTTTTTCAGCCATTCGTTCTTTAGAGGCACCTTGGAGTATTTTGAGCAAGTGCTGTGGCTGTTTCTGAAGTATTTCAGGAAAATGTGTTGCATAGAAAGGCTTTCAGGTCAATGATATACCCACATGTTGATCTTCCAGTAGCCAATACTCAAGCATAGATTTATTCAATTGTCAATACAGTGAGTGAGAGAGAGAGCTGTGACCAAAACTTAACTGAAAATGACTGCACTGATACAGCATAGACTGTTGCTTATGTGGTTAAGGTGCGAAACTCTAGGGCCCTGTTTAGACATGCCATTAACATGTGTCTTGGATGATTTGATCACAAGTGGACAGCTCTAAGCATGTCAGTTCACACCCGGCATTAAAACAGGTCTCCACTGGCGTCTTGAGTGACAAATAACATTTTTACCTATAACGTTTCTCCTTGTACTGCAGTGTTGTGCATTCACATAATTAAAAGGCTTTAACAGACTAAATCAACCGGCACAGAAAGGTTACTAAATATCTGATACTACTTTGTTTTGCAGCAGGAAGTCAGCGAGGTCCCCCTGACCCTGCCTTCAGAGAGCCTAACTAATGGCGACCTGGAAGGGGATGAAGCAGCCGAAGCAGATGACCTCGAGAGCCCTGCGGCTACAATGATGGGCCCAACCTTGGGTTCTACTGTTTCTGGGGGTGTTGCTGTTGCCACCGAGACACTGGAATCAGAAACGGATGCTGTCGAAGGAAGGGCAGCGGCCCTTGTGGCTGCAGCGAGGGCCGTAGTGTCAGGGGACCAACTGAAGCAGCGATTGACAGCAGGGGGTCACCCATGTGCCCAGTGCGACCGAGTCTTCATGTCCATGCAGGGACTGAGGTCACATGAGAGGAGCCACTCAGCCATGGCGCTGTTCAGCAGAGAAGACAAATACAGCTGCCAGTACTGCCAGTTCGTCTCACCCTTCCGACACAAGTAAGTAGGGAGGATACGGTCCCTGGAAAATAGGATGGTATTTTATAGGGAGTAAATTTCAAGTTGTAATCCGTGATACCCGCGATTAATGATGGTTTGATACTACAGCAAACACTTATTGGGCAGCTACTTTTTCAGAAGAGCAAGCAATGGATCTTTTTTATATTTTTTATATATACATATTTTTTGCCAGTGGTTGCAAGTAGCTTTTACTTACAGCCCTTCCTCTATGACTGTGGTTGCTCCTTCTTGTTCCATTACTCATTTGCAATTAAAAATCCTCTGTCATAGTCTGGAAAAACCTCTTATAACCTTGGTGACAAACAAAATGTGCTTCCTGTGTCTTCTTCACAATAAAAGCCATCCTGTAACTTGCCAGTTTAATGCTTGTAATGTGAAGCAGTGTCAGTTGGTGATGTTTGACTTGCATTAGCAGTAACTCATTACAGCTGTGATGTGGCCTGTGAATCCCCCATGCATGACAAGGCAATTTTTAATCTATTGCGCGAATGGTTAAAAAATTTAAAACTACTATATTGTGAGTTCATTATAGAATCTAAATAGCCTGAATGGCTATTGCTGAATACATACTGGCCATCAATAGTATCAAAAATAGGGGTTTGATTTTATTAAAAAATCCTAATTTAATTTGCTTTCATTTTGAGAGGTGTGACTTTCATGTCAATTTGTTTGCCATCTATAAAAAGTCATTTGTTTGAAGTGCTAGATCAGTGTACCCACACCCTTATAATATATGCAATATGTAGCCCTGGTAGCAGTATATTTGAAACTCTCACCCTTGTACACCATACCAGTCTTAACACCAGTTGTTCTGCAAATCAACTGGATGTTAAACTCATTTTGTACATAGCACATTTTTACACCTTATTCTGTTTGCCCTACCACAATACTTTTGAGTCTTCAATCTTCTCTAAGATTCCCTGCCTCCTAGGAGAGTAAGACAAACATTACAGCAAGACAGACATTTTGGTAGTGTGATTTGTTTTATCCATCACAGAGACACACAGAGCGAGAGGGAAAGAGAGAGTCCTCATCTCCTCTGAGCTCCCAGGTGTAATCCCTCTGTACTGTATGTGCCCTGACCCAGAAAGAAGCCGCATTCCCATGCCACCTAGGAGGCTGGCATTAAAAACACAGCCACCGTCCCCACAGGCACTCACGCACTCATTCCCACCAGGGGATTGTGGGTAGATGAGTTCACCCCACGGCTCCTTGTTCTGTAGTCATTGGAAATGTGCGGCTGTTGTTTGTGAGGTAAACAGAATTGAGCGCTTTAGATGCTGCTGAAAAAACCCCGCTGTTGAAATCATCAAAGTGGATATTGTAGAGTATAGCTCTATCTTTCTTTCCTGGACTCTATGATTGTCACTTTCTCTCTTTATCTGCTATCCTTTTGTTCCCATTTCATCTGGTTTTTTTTATGTCTTTTATCCTCTTATCTCATATCCCCCCTTCTTGTTTTTTATTTTTTGTGTGTTTTGTCTCATCACCAGTCTGGACAGACATGTGCAGTCTCACCACGGGCACCACAAGCCCTTCAAGTGCAAACTCTGCCCCTTTAAATCTGCCTACGTGAGTCGCTTGAAGAGCCACCTGCATAAGGCACACACAGGTAAAAACAGACACACACACACACGCATTAAATCACATCTTACAGCTGTATCCATGACTAACAAGGTACTTTTGGGCCAGAATAGCAGCCTCCTGTTTATCATCTTCCACATAACGATACTTTGCTTGATTTAGCTTATCCAGCGCAATGCAACCAGTGGATTAGATGGAGGAGCAGTTTCACCATTCACTGTGTACATTAGATACACTTAATTACACATCCAAAAGAATCATATTTGGATTCAGGTTTTAGAAAAGATGGTCCGGATGAATGTATCGTTATTTATTAGAAACATGGTTAGAAGTGACGCCCAGCATGCTACCAAGGCATACAGGTGTCTGATATTATGCCTGTGATCGCTTTTGGTTTTTGAGGGAGCCAGACGGCAGACAAAGGCATAGACATTCAAGCAAATGCAAAAAAAGCTCCACCTGAGAGATCAATACATGAGCAAAAGAAAGGATCTTAACACCAACAAACTAGAAAGGCCAATTTTCAAAAGACATTTGAGTGCTCTCAGCTATCTGATTGGAGAGAACAAGAAACAGCAGTAAGAGTTAACAACTGCTGTAGATAATTGACCTAAACCAATTTTGAGCTGTGATTACATTTGAAAAGAGGAGTTTGGCGATTTTGAGCATTTTGTGAAAACCATCAGAATTAAATTTCATCGTTGTGGCTCAGTTCTTTGCCTTTGTGCCTTTGCTTGCAGTCCAACAAGCTAGAGATACTTTAGATTGATTGTCTTAGTCCAAACATGTTCTTACCAGAAACAGGAAGATATCTGCAAGTAGTTTCCTTATAAAACCACTTCTGGCAAAAACATGTAACTAACAGATCAGATTTGGCTGTCACAGTGATGCTACTCAGCACGCTGCTTGCATTCGGTTGTTAAACAAATCTATTCAACAGCTACAGGAAGCAAGATGCTATAAATCCTCCATGGGCATGTTTAAAACTCTTCCAAAGTGTTTGCCAATCAACTTTGTTACTTTTAAACTGCCTGTAAGGAAAGTTGGAATGTGAATCTGACCTATTATGTTATTTCATAAGTTTATGTTTATGTGTGATACCTCAAGATATTTCCATTTGAATTTTTATGTAACTTTAATAAATGTTGCAGCTCAACATTCTTTTTATCCGAATTATGCTAATTAGTCCAAGGGGAACACCAAGGCGGTACTAGATGACATATTTGTTACAGATTGAATCAGAGGGGAATAGCTTTGTTTGTGGCGGAGGATGTGTTTATTATCACCGTGTTTTTTTTAATAAAGAATCTTCAACCGTGTACAGATCCCTGCCAATCCTCATCTAATGCTGTATGGTAAAATTCATATAGCAAGTTGCTGACTTGTGATTGATGATGATTTTTGATTTTCCTTCAGGTGAGCAGCACACATACAAGTGCTTGTCATGCCCCTTCTCCTCTATGACCATCAGCCAGCTGAAGGAGCACTCTCTGAGAGACCATGGTGAGGCCCTGACTCTCCACAAACTCCGGGCTGCTACCCAGGCTGCTCATGCCTCCCTCAGGCCCTCCCGGCTGGCTGGTAGCGCAGAGCAGACTTCCTTGGCCCCAGATGGTAATAATGTAATTTTAATGTATATAAGATTGTATGAGAGGCTTGTTAAGCCCGATTTGGGAAATCTCAATTGGGCATTAAAGCAGAATCCATTGAAATACAGAAATATTTAAAATATTTTTGCTTATTCCAAAGGCCCTATGTGGGTTTTGATGAATTTGTTTAAATATAAAATAGACTCTCTATATAATGTATATTATATGTATGACTGACTGCAAATAACAATTATTATCATTATTAATAATTCAGTTGATATTATTAATAATAATCTATTTTATAAATTAATTAAAATAGTGAAAACTGTGCATTAGAATTTCCCACAAATGAGGAAATGTACTCAAACATGTTGTTTAATTAGACCAGCTGTCCAAAGCCTGAAGAGATTCACCTAACATCATTATATGACAACAGCAAAGCATGAAATCCTTACATTTGAGAGGCTGTCCAATGCATGTTTAGCATTTTTACTTGAACACTTACAAATATTCTAAAAAATCGATTATCAAAATAGTTGCAGATTACTTTCTTGTTATTAACTAAATGCCTAATCAGCTGATCATTGCAGCTCTAGCATATATGTAATGCTCAGTGCTCTTTAAAATAAAATAGTGTAATAAATGTCATCAAATAAAACTCACAGCAACATTTGACCTAAAATGTAACCATTTTTGTTAAGCCTTTTCATTGTTAGACTACCAAATGTCCAGTGTGTAACATTTAAGAGGATCTATTGGCAAAAATGGAACATATGTATGGTATGGTATGTTTTCATTAGTGTATAACCACCTGAAAATAAGAATAGTTTTGTTTCTACAGTATCTCAGAACAAACAAAACAAACACTGGCTAAAAAAAAGGATAGAAAAGGATAGGCCTTTTGCGTTTTTTGCAAGTTTCATGGCCACTGTAGTTTCTCCTACATTCTTGGAAGGCTGAGCTGTATTCAAATGGTTGGAATCTGCATCTTTACAGCCAGAATCCACTAAATCCTACACACTGGTCCTTTAGTGTAACACATTAGATTTGCTATAAATACGGACAATCAGCACATAGCGTCGTGTCATAGTCTTTAGGAAAGGGTTGTGCACCCCAGATTAAATAAATGATATGAAAATTTAGAATGCTGATGTTTGATTATGGCACTTTTTCTTTACTGGATATTTACGGGAAACAGACACCTTCACTGGCTCCTTGATGTGATGCCGTGATGTAGGTGTTTTAGTGGCTTTGCAGCCGCGGCTTTAGCTTGCAGACTGTTCTTGGCAGCAGCTGTCACCTTGCTGCTGGAGCTGTGGAATCTTCCCTGGAGCTGAAGCAGGGCAGCATTCCTCAATGCACCAACCACCACTGTCAGCTGTGCCCTACCAAGACAAGTGAAGCATTGAGAAAGAGCAGAGCTGGCATATTGAATGTCTCTCTACCATGCCAAGCTAGCTACCTTCAGTTGAATATCTAAAATTCTGATATTTGCGGTGGAATGGAGGTTTTGTTTTGAAAAGATTACATTTGATTTGCTCTAGTGTTTACTTGTATTTCTTTAAAAAATGGTTTGAATAAAGCTGCGGTTTATTATTTAACAGATACACCTGATCCTGCCGAAAACTATGAATATAAGGTTCAAGTTCTTCGAACTTGAATTTTTTTGTTGCTTTAAAGTCGTCCTTCAAATATTTCTAAGGCTTTCTCTCCCTCCCCTGTCTTCTCCAGCTCCTCACAGAAGTATTCCACCTCTCATTTATGCAATGTAATAGACAAGTTTTGACCATTAATCCGTTCAAGAAGACACATCAATGCCTTATGACAGAATTCGGTCTCCATCTGCGATCTCATCTCCATACATCTCCACAATGCAGAGAGGATATTAAAAGCATGAATCAACTGTGGCATTGTTTGATTCGTACGAATTCCTCTGCTTCCTCTGCAAAAGTGAGAAATTGGATCTCAAGCATTTTATAAAGAAAAAGTTTAAAAGAAAAGTTTGTTTTTTTTCTTCTCCCATGCTTCCTCATACTGTGTGAGTGCTGAATGAGGCATTTTTCACATGGATAGATATTCTATTAGTGTCACTGTGGTTTATTTATTGATGTGTTGGAGGCTCAAAGTAGGACGAGAAGATGAACTTGCTCACTGATATTATAGACTCTTGAGAAAGGGAATGAGGAGGGAAAGAGGTAGGGGACGAATGATGACAGTCATCTTGATACTTCTGTGTGAGGCAGGGGGACGGGGGGGCGGCACACGGGGGGTGAGTACTTGTTTCCCTTATGGAGGAAAGGATCGACTGCAGTCTGCCGACAGACTCTCATTAAATGCAATGTACACGTACAGAATATCTTTTTGAAGAAATAATCAGACATCTCTCACAACTGCAATACAAGACGCAGATAAATCGATTTGGAGGAGACACACAAAGTAGGTTAAACTTCCTGTTGTGAAAATATGTGAATTTAAATAAGTGACTCTTGTGGGTTAAAAACTGGTACCCAGATCCTCTTAAAATGACCAGAAAAAGATATTATTTTAATTTCAGCAGTGACTATTTTCTTTTTAGAGTGGTTACTTCCTGTTCGTGTTAGAAAATAATCATGAAAGTGGAATATACGGAGTAATAATAGCACACATATTATGTGCTATGATAAAACATTTTTCTCCATAATAGTACAGTACACAGATCCTTTATTTTAGTAAAAGTACCAATAAAACAATGTGAAAATGAAGTTAAGCAGGTAAAGGTCTTTTAAGTATCAAATGTACTCCTTTTGCTGGAAAAATAACCCTTTTTTTTACCACTTTATGTACAGTGAAGTAGTTTAGAACAGTGCTTCTCAACCTAGGATTTGGGCCCCCTCCAGAGGGTGACAAGATAAATCTGAGGGTCCGTGAGATGATTAATGGGTTACAAAAAGAGGAAAAAACAAAGTTCTGCTACATAAATATGCCTTAATTCTTCAGACCTTTCTCTAATTTCATTCCTCTTGTGAAATATTGGAGGGCTTTTCCTCTAAGGGCCTCAAACTGTTGTTTAAATGAAACCATCTGAGAAGGTTAGAAGGGATTTTGTAAGTGGACACAAACCAAAAAAGTTGTGTTTAACAATGTGTTGTGTTTTATAAGCTGTTCCTTTTTCACTTGTATCTTTACTGTGTGTTACAATATAATAAACCACAAGTTTCTCTCAATTCCTGTGCACCTCTCTCAGATCCATCATACCTGGAGCCAGCGGATGTTCGTCAGCAGCTTAGTCATTACCAGCTGGCCTCCCGCAGTCAAATGTCTTCCGGCTCAACACCTGGTGGCTCAACAGTGGCTGACAATCGACCAGACGGCGTCCTCACTTGTGAGTTCTGCGAGTTCAGCTCTGGATACATGCAGAGCCTGCGTCGGCACTACAGGGACCGCCACGGTGGCAAAAAGCTCTTCAAGTGCAAAGACTGTTCCTTTTTCACCTGCTACAAGTAAGGACATTCTTCAGCTTGGCAGAGGGGAAATGGGAAAATGATAACAATGTTTTATACATAAGCAAGGAGTATTTAAATGTGCAGATACTTGATAGACAAGCGCTGAATAAATACCCTCATTAGTTTAATGATCCTTCTTTCTGCCTCTGAATCTGTCTCAGGAATACCTTCACCATGCATGTGGAGGCTGGTCACAACAACAATGCACCTGAGGACCTCCCTAAAGACCTGCGCTGCCCTCTTTGCCTCTATCACACCAAACACAAGAGCAATATGATTGACCACATTGTCCTGCACAGAGGTACTCATCATGCTTTTTGAAGAAATAGTTTAGTAATTGTTAGTGTTTATTTTATTTAGATGTGATAACCAGAGATGGTGGCTTTGCAACCATGTTGGCACTGGTTTGTTAGGGTCATTTCTTGTAGTTCTTTTTTATTAAAAGACCAGTGTTTAAGATTTAGTGGCATCTAGCTGTGTAGTTGCATATTAGAACTCTCTCGCTTCAACCTCCCCTTCCAAGCACAAAGGAGAAAAAAATAAAATAACCTCATTGTCAGAAGATACAGATACTATATCTGACTCTGAATTAGAAGCTGGAGGTTGACATTGCGATTACTTATGTACGGATGAAATAAACAAGACAAAACGTTCACTATTAGATATAATGTCCGACTATTCCTTTAAACGTCATCAAAGTCAAATGAAAACCTCACTAGCGTTGGCAGTTGTACTGTGGTATGACTGAATGGTTTCAGAAAGAATGCTGTGGCTTGGTTGGCACTGGTTGACAAATTGATCTTTTTTTTTCATTCAACACCGATATGCACCCTGTATTCCACTGTAAGAAATGTAAACATAATACAAACAAAGTAAACACAAGTAAGATAAACCATGTATACAAGTGGAGCTATTTGTTTGAATAATTTTGCGTACAGTATATGAGAGTGATCATGATAATCAGGGGTAACACTGGGGTGTTTTTCATGAGGGTTTATATGAGACTTTCTTCAGTTATCTAGAGGAAGTGTTTGTCTTGAAAGTGACAAAATAACAAAACGATAAAAAGGTAACAGCCACTGATTACTTTTTTCCTTTGCTACTGCGTGTGTGTGGGTGTCTTTCACCCCCCACATCTCCTCTTCCCATTTTGTCGTTAGCTTCTTTTTTCCCTCTTCGCTGCTCTACCATTTCCCTTCCCTCTCTCCAACCTAATAATCCACTTCGCCCTCTTCTCTTCCTCCTTCAGAGGAGCGCGTGGGTCCATTGGAGGTCAGCCGCTCCAAGCTGTCACGCCACCTTCAGGGCCTGGTATTCCGATGCCACAAATGCACCTTCACATGCTCCAGCGACCAGGCCTTGCAGCTGCACCTGCAGAAGCATGCTGAGATCAAACCCTACCAGTGCCAGCTCTGTTATTATGACAGTAGCCGACGGAGCCAGCTAGAGGAACATCTACGCCTCGAGCACAAGGTCAGTTGGAGCCCACATATGATGCAAATTAAGTTTCTTTGGTAGGAAGAATATGGCCATGATTTTCCTTTGGCAGATAAGACTCTTTATCACCAAGTTTTATTGAACATAATTTACTCATAAGAACAGGTCCTAATAATCAGCCTGCCTAATGGTTGTAACATTAGATGTTTACAGCTTATACCCTCTGTAACTTCAAACTGTAAAATTAATTCCATCTGGCCGTTGGCGGGTTTATGGGAGGTAATCCTGAGGCCTGTGCCAATCAACTGTCTATATTCCCACAGTGTCATGATATTATACCAACAACTCCTCCAGCTGCTGGATTGTTAAAAAAAATCCCAAAATATCCTGAAACCATTTGAATCCCAGATAATTAGAAATAAAAAAAAAGAACTGATATCATTTTTAAACTAAATAATCTATATAATAAGGGAAGGAAAGAGTTCCAGCTTTTGCATCTTTCATCTTTTCATATAGCAAGATAGTAAGGGAACCTACAAAAGTATTAAAACTGCTAAAATAGTTGGAGTAAAACTAGTCTTTGGCAGCCAAAGATAACGATGATGGTGGAATGAGAGTGTACATAGATTGGAACAACAACAATCGATACACAGTAAAGCCCAGCACAGGAAAAGTCTGTGTTTATTTGGTGATTTTAGGTTCACTCAGTAAATGCTGGAAGCTCTTTGCCAAGCATGTTCACTTGTGTAAAACTGTTCAAATGACAGTTAACTGTAGTTTTCTTTTTTTTAACATCAGTTAAAACATAAATAAGCTACTCCCAGTGAATACTTCCTACAGCAGTTTCACATTAAAATCCATATCAGCCCACCTTAAGTTTAGGGAAGGGAAACCCTGTTAATGATTCCCTTGCAGCTACCATTTATTGTGTGAGGTATAATGTTTTTGAACATGTGTTAAAAAAAACTTTATTAAATGAGAAATTATTAGAATATTTCATTCACGGTTGGACCATAAAACAGTCAGGATTATGAAAGTATTTAAACTGTCTCTTCTCTTCCCGGTCCTATTTTAGCATTCAAACTTCTTCATTTAGAGTCCTTAAAATGGAAAATTACCACATGGAGGGCATTTATTGAAACAACATTGCTACACATGCTTATAAAGCCAAAATTAAGTCTAACTCTATGCCGCTCCCTGACAGATTAGGAGTTAAAAATATCAGTGAAATGGCTACTGAACAATACAGTGGAATAAGATGACATGGTGCATACATATCAGATTGCTGGAGCCTCAGTGTATTCTAACCACATCCAGGAGAGAAAAGGTTTCGTCTCTCAGTCTCCCTTAAATGTGATCATTCAAGAGATGATGTGAGAAAGCAGATTGTATTTTAGAAGATTGTGTTTTAGAAATTTATAATTTTTTATTGTTGACATGACTAGATCCCTGACTTTACCCAGTGCATGCTGGGATACGGGCCAGCCATCCTGTTACCTACATAGGAGTAAGCCGGTATGGATAATGAATGAATGGAGTTCAGTGTCAGACATGAGATGGATTGCAGCTAGCTTACTGGCACTGATCAGTGTGTGTAGGTTCCTGAAAAAAACATTTTGAAAGCCAGAGCCATGTTTGATATAGATATTTATGTTCTGGGAGGTAGAATACGACATCTGTGGAGAGAGACTTGATATTTCTGGAAATTTGTAAAAATCTGTTATTGGAGGAGGCACAAAGCATCTCTAGGACTGGGACAGTGAGGAGAAGGGACACGTTTTTATGTGTGCATTATATTACACACCTTTTTCATTCAGATCATCATTTGGCAAAGATGTGGTGCTACGTGTGATCAAGGTCACACCAGACAGGTGCAAAAACTCTTATTTTGAAAGAACTGAAAAATCACGCACACTTAATAATACATAATAACTCCTAATAATTAATAAGCTCATTAACCTTAATTTGTATGGATACCAAGAGCTGTAGCTGGCATCTTCTGACTTTGTGAGTTTTTCCCCCAGTGATCTTTGTATGTATATGTTATGGAGGTTTGAGGACCAAAACATCATAAATAAAGTTTTAAAAAAGGCACATGATTGGCAGTGTGTGAGAGTTTTTGGTCCTTTCACGTGTCGCTGAAGGTCAAAAAATGTCGAGAAGAAAATGAAAGCAACCCGAAAATATTTCTCGGACTGGATTCCTTTTATTTTTTGCCATCGGGATACTGTAAATATGTGCCTCAATCTTGAAAAAGGAACGAGAGAGCAGGACTCTATCTGGGTTAGACAGAGAGCTAAAGCTAATTCATGGGAGGAAGAGTGGAGGAGCAGGCGTGGTCACTGCTGGGGAGGGTGTTCAGGGAAAAGGGAAGGAGGGAATTGCTCAGAAAGAGTGATATAATTTTCTGACAAGATGGATAAGATAAGCGAAGAGATGATCTGGTTCTGTCATCGAAATCTTCCATCTTCGTTGTTAAAACAATTCTATTTCAGATCATTTTAGTTGACTCATCATCTCATGCTGCATTGTGAAGTATAGAAATACACCTCCGGCTCTGATGATGACAGGCCTTTACTTCAAAAGCCATATTAAACTCAGTCTAATATAAATTTCAATCAGCTTGAAAACATAAAGGTGTTGAAAAAACACTTAAGCTTCTGCTAAAACTGTTTTACTGTTCATGTATAATCAGGGTGTGAATTTGTGTTGAACCTAGATCAGAAACATCAGCTTTACTTTACTGTCAGTTGTAAAATCTTCAGAATTTAGTTTGAGCTTTTATAATTAATGGTAAATATAAAAATTGTAAATAACAAGAACAGTCAGCCTAAAATGCATGTATTGACTTTATAAAAAAACAAAAAATTAAGCCCTTAACAGACATAAATGTAATGATTTGTGCAAGTATTCCCACACTTTCACCTTTTTTTAATGTTTTTGAAGGCTTCAACAAAAAGCAGTAGAAAAGAAAATGGAATTCTCCGAGATGAAGCCTGCTCAGAGAACACTAGCAAACTGATTAACACCTCCTGTTTCTGATCAGGTTATCCGCAACTTTGAGCTGATGGGTCGGGTCAACCTGGACCAGCTGGAGATGATAAAGGAACAAGGGAGCAGCGCAGAGGAGGAAGAAGAAAGAGAAATGATGGAATTGGTTAGAGGTGGAAAAGTAGCTGCTGCAGACGAGGAGGAGGAGGAGGAGGAGGAGGACGACGATGAAGGAATGGAAATGATGGAGAACATAGTGGAGGAACAGAGAGAGATGGATGATGAAGAGATGGAGGACAACATCAAAGAGGAAGAAGAGGAGGAGGAGGAAGAAAATGAAGAAGTAGAGGAAGAGAGGCCTGCCCTCCAAGGTAAATACAGCTGAAGAAATACTAATCTTTGTTGAATATTATCCACTCGTTATTATGAATTTTCAAGTGACAACATGCCTGATACTTGGCACTGTCTTTGCTTCAGACTGTCAAATACAACCACTGATGTTTGCCGAAAGAACAAATATATACTCCACACCTGGCCAGTCAAGACCAGAACACTACAGGATACTATTTAACTGCCATATACAGTATGAGCCTATCTCACAACAGATTTATTTTCCAAAAACCTTTTGGGATTACACTATAAATGAGTTTCTGCTGAAAAGTCATTTTCTGTCTTCTGTTCTCAGTTATTTTATACCAAATTGTGATCTGTGTGAAAAATCTCCTGTGTCTCCCTTTAAGCCAAATAAATGGGCCCATAAGTAAAATGCAATATATAATGAGTAATGAGTTATGGTACTTTTTATGAGCAGTGTTTGTCTTCCAAAATAGCCAAAGTCTCAGTGTAATTCTGAATAGATTTTCTCATTTCATTCTAGCTTAAAAGTTACTGACTATACTTGACAGGTATTGGTTGCTCAAAGAGGGAAGAAAGTAGATTTCTAATCTACAGAGGAGCCAACATTAATTTCTAATAAATAAATAATAAAATAAACATCTCCATTGTTTTCAAATATTGTAAAAAAAATACGAAATCAACACTTCTGAAATCAGTGTGTTCTGAGACTGACCAAATATTCAAACTCTATTTCCCAGAGGTCCTTGCATCTCCCACCAGCAGCACCAGCAGCACCTCTGGGCCAAGCGGTGTAGAGAAGCGTCTCCCCTGTGAGTTCTGTGGCCGCTGCTTCACCAACAACCTTGAGTGGGAAAGACACGTCCTTCGACATGGCATGTTAGTGTTTGTTTATTTGTCTTTCTCCTCTTCTCTACCTTCATTTTGTGTGTGAGCTTGTGTACTTTCCTGACACAGCAAGCCACCATGGTCCTCTTTACCTGTCTTTCTGGTCTTTGTGTCAACAATAAAGACCTTTAGGTGGGTCTTTATTTGGTAAAGGCATGCATTCAGACTCCATGGTTACACATGATCAGGATACAACTGCAAAAATCTGCCACATTAGCGGGATGGCGTTATGGTAGTAAAATGTTTTACTCAGAATCAGAAAACAGGAGGAAAAGGATAAATACCAGGCAGGAAGAGAAGGCAAAAGTATCTAGGGACCGGTCAAAGGGGCAGGTGTCCACGGCAAGCAGGGGTCCAAACTGGCCGGCAGAGGAAAAACAGCTAGACATATTAGATGATCTGATGGAGAGGGAATGGGAATAAACCAATATATTTACTGCAAGACTAATGAGGAAGTGAAAACAGGTGTGCAGGTAGGCGAGGTGAGCTGAGGTGAGGACGGGTGATTTGAATGGCAGGAACACAGGGGTTACTGTGGAGAGAGTGGCAGGATCTGGAATGACAGGAGCGTTAAAGCTGCAGTGGGTAACTTTTTGTTATATTTGCTGAAACTTTTACTATATCCTGACAGTGGTACACAAGATAGGTAATCTGGAAAAAACAGGTTCATCTGGCTCTTCCTGGTGCTCCCAATGGCATTTGCAAGAATCTAACAGGCCTGAACAAAAACCGCCAATCAGAGCCAAAATGTATTCACAGATTATCTGTCTCATGTACTACTGTCAAGATACAGTGAAAGTTTCAGCAAATATTTTTTAAGTAAGTTACCTACTGCAGCTTTAACATATGGCACAGGTGAACAGAGAGGGAGAGAGTAAATGTGGCACCAGAATCAGGCTGATGTTGTGAGACATGGACGGTGATCGCCTGACTTTTCATTTAATGCCACCATAAGGTTGACATTTGTGGTCATGACAACTAATGGATTGTCATGAAATTGGGTCAGACATTTATGCTCCCCAGAGGATGAATTGTAATACTTTTGGTTCCTGACCAAATACCAGTAAAACTAATGCCATTCCCATTACACACAGTGCTTAATTAGCAAATGTTAGCATGCAAACACTCTAAACTAATATGATGAATATGGTAAACATATCTGCTGAACATGAGTGCTGTCATTAGGGTCATTATGTTCCCAGGGTCCTGTGTTTCCCAGTTCTGGGTTAGGGATAGGGTTAGGATTAGGGGGTTAAGGGGTTAGGGAGTTTAGGACCCAAGGGACATAGGCCCTGGGAACTTAAATACACTCCAATTGTGAGCATGTTAGCATTTAGCTCAATGCACAGCTGTGATAAGCACATCAGCCTCTAGCATTATTAGCATTATTACTCTATATCTGCATATTAGAAATCTTATCTCCTCTGTCATTAGCTTGTCCATATATTTCCACATTTTAAAAGCATTTATTTTTGCTCCCTCCTTCATTGCCAGGATGGTTAACAACAGTCGAATGGACACCAGCACCACATCCGCAATAGAGGCCTCAGCTTCATCTTCTACTGGTTCCTCTGTCCTGATGGACACAGGATTGGACCTGTCCAGTAACAGAAAAGAGGAAGCTGATCTAACACTGAGAAGTCAAAGCCAGTATGTTGAAGACAAAGAAATGCTTGACACCAAAAAGGATCAACAGTTTGGTTGAACTGATTGTGGCCTCTTGGGATATTGTGCTAGAAACTGATAACATTGGGTAGGATCAGCACTGAGTTGGATCTTAAAATAGGACGTCAGAGGAAATGAAAAGATTGAAACTGAAAAAAAAAGTGACTTCTTATGAGTTGGCGCATTACTAGATTTTAGGTGTTACATATTTAAGTATTAGGTTGTGCTGCATAAAACGGCTGAGCTCTTTAAATGGGCAGTCCCCTAGGACAGATCTTAATATATTGGTAACCAATAGTGAACAGAACTCTTTATTGCTGACATTCTGGTCAAATCTACAGTGAAAGATCCCACCTAGATAAAACTAAGCTATTTATAAAGAATGTTGTCCAAAAAAAAAAGAACTAAATTTAGCATTTTATTATTTGAAGCACCTTTTACACTCCCCCTGCTCATCTAAAACAGGGTTACTGTAAATTTACCTAAAAGGAACAAGGAAGATATAAAAGCATTTACAACTGTGGTCCACTGTAGAGCTACCTTTTCTTGTTTCTTGTTGAAATCTGAGACCTTTTTCATCTTAGCCTTGTGTTAAATGTGTAGAAGTATTCCTTGAGGAAGAGTCGCACCTTATCTATTTTAGTGAAATCTGAAATCATTTTTTTTCTTTATTCGTAGAAATACTTACAATTTCCCCCAATGTTTGTAGCAAATTGCTATATTTTAGGTCCCTTAATATTATACTACGTATAAGCCTTCAGCCTGTGGCATCCTTTGCATTTTGACTGTGCTGTTTTATTGTCCAGTAATTTCACTGATGTGATGAAATCATGGAAATAATGGGATTAGTTGAAATCTCCCCTCCCCTGTAAAACATGATGTTGTTTGTAGTCCAGGTTAAACAATATCACAGTTAACCTGAGCACTCAGCATAACAATATAACAACAGAGATATGTTTAATGTGTCATGACTGTATCCATATGATATACAGTAGGTATCCTTTAAGCTTAGCATGGCAAGTTTTGCTTGGAACATAACTACAGGTTTTAGCAACAGTGGTGTGATATCTGTCATCATGATCAATAGACAGAGATTACACTTGTCTTTTCAGTGCAAAATTTTGTAATTGGAAGTGCAAAAATTTCACTCTGTCCACATACTGTAGGTGCATTCAGAAATGGCTATTAAATGCATAGTTTGGAGTGAGGCTTGCTGTTAATGACATATCCATATGTGCCAACCAGGATGCCCCTGTTGTGGTCTGGCTAACTGGAGTAAACTGTGCACAAGTGTTGACCACCACGGCTGAGTGTTGAAGCCAGTGCCTAAGTGCCTTAAAATGCAGTTCCTCTAGTGGCCACTATATGGCTATAATTGCTTTAAAAAAAACACCCAAATGTTTTGAAGTAACCAGAAAAATCTCCTAACTTCTCTCTCAAAATACAAAGTCAAGTTTGTAAGGGCCTCAACAGCTAATTTCTCTTCTTCTAATGTGCGCCATTTTGAAAGTCATTGTTTAATTAAGATTAGATGAGGTTAAATTAGATTTGACTTCATTGTAATTGCATTGGAAGTGCTAGTACAAAGAAATGTGGTTCAGCATTTAACCAGGTAATGCATACATTAGCGAAGAGGTGCCCTTAAGTCAATATTTTTATCTGGTATTTAGACATGCAGATAGCTTTGGTTTCTTTGCCAAGGTTTTGAGATTTCTGCTGATCCAGTAGTTGCAAATGGAATTTCATTTGTCATACTCACAGCATTGAAAAGCAGCATTCGAGCTGTTTTCATCTGAACTATTTTCTATCAAATAAATAGTCCAAATGAAAACTGTTGACAGCGTCTTCTGTGTGTTGTACTGTATGTTTATTTTGATACTGTGAGCACCACATAAGAAATTCCATACTAAAACAGACACGTTTGGAGCCATGTTTGCTTGATTGACAGAATGTCTCTGCCTTTCACAGTCAGCCCTGGTGATTACCTCAACTCCAACCAGGTTCCTCCACAAGCCCAAATTATTTTTTCAGGCTCCAAATGACTGACAGGCTGGCATCAAGGATTAAACTCAAACCTAGAGCTTCAAAACATCCCTTCAAAAACTTATGGCTGATGCCACAGAAACCACAGACACGCTTTTCTACAGTCTATGATCTGGTTTTGATGTGATGGGATACACTGAAAAGACAAGTGCAACCAGCTCAGAAAGCCCCAAACACCATTTGTTTCCACATAGCATATTTGCCACTGGGACTGTATGTTGAAGATGGACTTTTTAAAGGTGTCAAATCCCCCAACTTTAACCCCTTTAAATTCTCATCCAATATTGACACAACCTGCATTTGTGTGCTTCTTTTTAGACAAAATTGTCACGTTATTGTTGATACTGACAAAAGGCAGAGATTGTATTTGTTGGAAGTTGCTGCTTGAATGCCCTAAAGCCTTATAAGATGAAAAATAGCAATTAAGTCAAATTTATGTCCAATACCAATAAGACCAATGAGCAACGTTAAACTGTCTGAAATAATATGGCTAAAAACTACAATATCAAATTAGTATAGGAGCACAATTAATGGAATTGTGTTCTTGGTACCAAAATATTTACCAAGCCTGCTGTGTTTGCTGCTGTGATTGTCCTTCCTGAGCATTGAACCATTGATGGAAATGGGAAATCTGGGTTTGGACCATAGAATTTTGGAACTAGAGTTCTATGGGTGGAACCCAGGTGAACTACATGTTTGCAGCCATGTATAGAAAACAAAACTACTTGTTAAGTGTTTGAACTGTGGTGTTTCAGAAAGGATACTTTAACCCTTTTTCCTTTAGGTGTTCTCATTTAAAAAAAAAGAAGAAAAAAAAAAGAAATCTAAAGATGATAGCTAACCCTTAGGGGCTTTTTGAGTCCCCAATCCAACATTATTACACTGTTGTACAATGTCTGGTTACAATGAAAAATATCTCCTTTTTTGTACTGTAATGGGAATGAGCACATAGGAAGAGCAATGTGGTTGTACAATATTTTAAACATGTGAAGGAAAATGATGCAGTTACGTACTAATTAAAGGCCAGGGCTTTTATTGTGAAGGAGAAAAACATGGCAAAGTAAGAGACAAGAAAAAAAATGTTCCTTTGGGGGCATTTACCTAAACTGCTTGGTCCTTTTCTGGGATTGGCCACCATCTGGGTTCCCAGTCAGCCTAATAGATCCCTCTGAGATCTAGCTCACGCTTGTCCAATCCGACATCTGACACTCTAGTATGTTCTGTCTATGACCAGTAAGGGCATCAAGTCACTTTCTCCAAGCAGGCTTGCCCATAGTCTACCCAGTTAACAACAGGTGGGAATGTAGCAGCCCCACTATGCTCCTCAATCCTTGTAATACCTGAAAAACCATTTGAGTTGGTGCTCAATCTCAAAGCCCATTTTCTGTTTTTCAGGACCAGCTTGTAGCTTTTTTGAAAGTAAAACTGTTTGAAAACTGTTGTTGTAGAAATAAGCTTTGTAAGGCAGCTTGTTGCCCAGCTTGAAAGCCCAGTGTAAACCAGATGATAAATTGGGACAATCTGGCTAATGAAGCTGTCAACCCAAAACTGTTTGTTGTTCTGTGATCATTTTAATAGAAAATGACTATGAATCCCTCACTGTGTGCAGTCTCTAGACTGTAATATTCCCAGTTTACCCAAAGTTATTCCCCTGCTGACAACACACTGGATACTTGTATATATGTTTAGTTTGTTTCTGATGCATTTCTCTTTTCAGACTGTTGTCTCCATAGTTTGACACTAGAATCTCTCCTTCTTGCCTTTCTTCCCATATAAATCTGATTACCTGATGGTGGGTTGTGATGTTGCCTAGAATGATTGTTTACAATTTTATTCCATTTATCTCTGGATATTCTGTAAATATTGTAATTCATTGTCTTTTTTTAACTTGATAATAAAGTTATCAGATAACGGTTAATTGTGTTTATCTCTTCTTTCTTTGTATAGACACATCATATAAATTCAATTAGGATCCTAAAATGTGTCTTTCCTCCTTGCTTAACACTAAGACTTTAAGGGAACAGACTGAGAAATCTGATCATTTAAATGTAGAATTGTGGGAACATGCTGTACTTTTACCTTATAAAATAACTTTTTTAGATTTTCCTTGTTTTCCGATCAGTGAATTATTCATATCAGCACAGATGTCAAACTATTAAAATTCCCTGGTTAGCAAGCTTCCTGAAAAAAACTGAGAATAAGGTGAAAGTGGTGCTTCACTGTCAAGAGAAAAGTGATGCCAAAAGAGTAAGGAAATGCAAGTTCACTAAAGAAGTGGTTGGCATAGCTTCTTCATCTTGATCATAAATTAAAAATAAAAAGATGAGATAGGCAGTCATTTACAGTTTGTGGCAGCTACATTTGCATGTAAGGGGTCCTCACATAAGGAAGACCTGACGTTTACCATTGGAGCCAGCCTTATTTTCTGTTATCTTACTAAAATAACAGCAAGTTTTTTTTTCACTTATGCTGTGATATATCTCAACATCCACTGGATGGATTGGCGCAACAAATGAATGGTTCCCAATAAATTCTAATGACAAAGAATGGAATGAATGGATTGCCATGAAATTCACTAGCCATTCAAGTTCAGGATGAAATATAATAGCTTTCATGACCCCCTTAGTTTTTATCTAGCCCCAGGTCCGAATTTTAATGTGTCAAATAATGCAATCAGCTGCACTTTGTGTTTATTGCTAATTGACAAATGTTAGCATGTCAACACACCAAACTGAGATGGTGAACATGGTAAACATTATTCCTGCTGAATATCAGAATGATAACATTGTCATTGTGAGCATGATAGCATACTGACATTAACAACATTATTACTGTATATCTGCATATTTGAAACCATGGCCCCTCTGTCGTTAGTCTTATGAGTACATATTAATAGTTTCAGTAAGATGGACACCAGAACAACTTCAGCTTTTGTGTAGTATTTGCTAGTGACACTAATAATGCAGTAGTTCACGCATTTAAAAACTCCTCCTCCAAAGTTAATCATATGTTTTGTAAAATATCTTCATGGTTATCCATTCCAGCTTTTGTGCAACACATTTCTCCTATTCAGTGACACATAGTATTTCCTTGGAACAACCAATAATAGTCCCAGCCGCTTGTCCACAGGAAATAGCTTCGGGCTGAGAAGGCATCTCAGTGGCCTTCACTTTGTGTTACACCCTTCCACCCCTCTGTTGCTCTCTCACTTTCTACTCCACTCCACACCCTGTAAGAGCTCTGCAGACCAAAACCACAAACCCTGCAAATGCCAGACCTGTGTGTGTGTGTGTGTGTGTGTGTGTTATGGCTTTGTGTGTATGTGTAATATACATACACGAAACGCTGCAGCTCTTGCAACATGAACTACAAGTCAATGAGATCAGCAGATTCAATCAGTTATGTTTCCACTTTATTTTTCACAGTTGGTCTTTTTATTTTCTCAACATCTCCCTCGGTTTCACTGAAGAAAACGCATGTGGAGTAGTCTATTTCTAGTGTCTTTCTACTGAAGGTCCAAATTTCACACGTCCTCTGCATTTCCTCTCCAGCCTATTTTAGGGGCCATGTCTTTATTTCACATGTCTAACATCATCTCTTAAAAATATCTCCAAGTCACCAGGGATCAGACTGTAATCTCTGTGGCTCACCACTTCAGAGGGGGCTGATGGCAGACTGACGACCCCTGGAGACAGGAGCAAGAGGCACAGCCACAGTGGAGAGAGGGGAAAGGAGGACACTGCTGCTGCTGCTGCTGAGTGGAGCAACATAAGGAATGCCTGATGAGAGCATGCTCAGGCCAAGGCAGGCGAGGGCACTGCTCCTGTCGTAATAACTGGATGAAAGAGAGATGGGGGAGAGGATTGGGTGGAGAGATAGAAGGCAAAGTCGGGATAGAAGAAGAGTGAGAGTGGCAGAAGGACAGGAACAGACAGTTAAGAGGAGTGACAGATAAAGATAAACAGAGTCATAGAAAGTGAGTGGGAGTGATATGAGAATAAGGGAGAAGTGGCCTGGGGAAGAGACCCCATTGAGCTTCAGCATATTATCTTTTGTACTAAACAGTCCTCTCAAAGTCAGAGCTGTGCAGCATGGCAGCATGCGAGACAGAAGTCAATAAAGCCTCAGAATACTGAGTGCTGGATATTAAAATTCCTCCATGCTTGAAGGACCCGGGATTGTTGAAACGTGTGATAACAGCATAAAATGCTACTCTCAAGTCCAGTAAGGGCGGCATGTTTATTCCACCAATGTCAAGTCTCTGAGAGGAACATGATGAAGAAGCACCAAAAACATTCAACTTACGAATCCAAAGGTAAAATGCAAGTAATGTTTTCAATTAAAAGTTAACATGAGATGTTCAATGTCAAGGATTCTTGAAAGAGAAATTTAAATTAGCCAGCAATGCATTTGGTTGAGTAACCAAGTTGTTGCTCTGAGGTGACAACAATGTTCACCATTACACTGTGAATCAACCCTGTGTGTTTGTGTTTATTTTTTATGTTTCTCTTCTTATACTTCTATTTTAAGTTACCCTCATTAGCATGCACTGTATTAATCATCATTAATTGCTTTTTAAAAATTCAATTCATAAGGGACTCTTTAGGGTAGACAGGACTAAAAGGCAAAAAAAAAAAGTGGCAGTGTTGTAGAGAAATGACACTGCAGAGTGCATATAATTAAACACTCAATTTGACTCTTGTCAAGTTCATGAATTTCATTTATTATTAATATTATTTATATTATTGAAGTTAAATTAAAGCAATGGTGGCACATTCATTTGAGTACTGTACTTAGCTTTACTTGAATATTTCTGTTTTTTGTTACTTCACACTACTATACTCCATTTCAAAGGCAAGTATTGTACTTTTTATTCTGTTAATATATATATATAACATAAGGAACATAAATAATAAAGAACATGTAATCAGCTTTCTGCAACATAAGTCTACTCTCACTTGTTGAATGCAGGACTCTAAATTGAGCTATTGCGACAGTTATTTAGTAAAGGATGTGATGAATATTTCATCCACTAAATGAACTAAATGAAATGGAAAATTGGCCATTTTCCCCTGCAATGTCAAGGCCAACCAGCAGGGGCGCTGTAGCCCAAAAAAACCCCAAAGAAGAAGAAAGGCGAAGTCATGGCGGCTGACAGTTTGTAATGAGCAAACAAAAACCAAGATTCTTGCAAGTTGGACCTAACAACGTTTAAACCAGGCCCGGGGATACAAACTCTGACGGCAAAATGCAGATAACTTTGAAAACCTTACAACAGCAGACGTTCAAAATCGACATCGATGAAGAGGAGACGGTGAGAGTTGAAGCCATGCATTTGTGAAGGGGGGTGGAGTGGGAGTTGGGTCACATTATGTCCTGGAGCGGAGTACTTTTAGAAAAACAAAAAAATGTCAAATTAGGCGATGGATAGATGGGTTTGAGTACACATGACAGATATGTTTTAGGTGGACTACATGTTCGGGATTATATGGCTTAGTGTTTGACGCAGGATTTGAGATATTTATTGAATGCCGGTGAGGAAAGTAGTTTTCAGTGTCAGCATTTAGCCGTAGCCCACTTCACGATCCAGGAGAGAGGGGGTGACAAGTTAGCATCAGGGTTTGTGAATTATTAAGGTATTATACATTCACACTGTTTATTTTCTGTTAAATTAAATCAAAATTGGCGTCATATTCGTGGCAGTAGCAGTCAGTAAACACTGTGTAATGTATAGCTAACGATAGTTGTAGCCTTCAACTGAGGTAACGTTGGTGTCAGCTAACAGTTAAATATAATACAACGTGAACATCTGTGACTAAGACCAGATGTTCACTGTTACAGTTTAATAAAACTGTATTATTATTATTTTTTATCTTTCGCTTTCGATAAGCCTGCATAAGTACACAGCCATCAAAGTTACCTTGGTTACACTCACATGAAAACAGCATTTTATGAACTTTTAGGTAATAACGTTATATAAATGTTTGCTAGTCTGTAATTCAAATCCAGCTTTCAGCATGCTGTCTGGTGTAAATAGTTTTCCTCAATGAGCCAGCACTGTCATGTCTCCCCAGCTCCAGTTTTATGATGGTGTTAGCAGCTTAGTTCACACTTTGGACTTTTTTTTTTTAAACTCGTGCTATAGTTAGTTGAGGCAGGGCTACATTGCAGTGGAAGTCATTTTATAGTGGTCTACAAGGGTGAAGAAAAGTAATATAACATTTATAATCTTTTCCACAGGTGAAGACGTTAAAAGAGAGGATTGAAGAGGAGAAAGGAAAGGACCATTTTTCAGTTTCAGGACTGAAATTGATATATGCTGGTATGTTGCAGGCTGTTTTAACCCTTCTTATACCATCTTATTCCTCATCTCTTTCCTATGCACTGACAGTCTCCACTGCCTTGATTTTCAGGTGATCAATAGTTTAAAAATCCTGCAAAATAGCTGCCTTATGTTTATGTATTGGGTGTTCTCACTCTCCAGTGTGTTCCCAAGCTGTCACCTGGAGGAATGGATCTATTTGTGTGATCTCAAGCTGCATTCGACAGTTTGCCTTCATCTTGTCTGTGTGTTGTATTCTGTACCGTCCCAGGGAGCCTAAATGTGTCATAAAAGGCAACATGGATCTGACCAAGCTAGTAGATTTGATTCACAATGCCCTTAAAGCCTGCAGTTGGGCTACATTAAGGTTATTAAAATATTTAAAATGTTCAGCAGCTCAGTTGGTCCACATTAGGAAGGTATCGCCTGCCCGACAGTTGTTCTTTAAGGTTTATTGTAATATTTTGTAGCATATCCCCTTACATATTGTATTTGATAAATGGGGAGGGGAGAGTGACTCTTCAACCGTTGTGGCAAAAAAGTTAAACAGTGTTTGATAGCTTTTCTTCGTAACTGAGCATGAAAATATACAGGAG